ATGGTGCTGGGTAGCGAATGGGGCTGGCAGGAGCCAGGGCGCCAGCCCCCAGCTGGTTAGGCTAACTGGGTGCAATTTGTGCCTGGCAATCACTGTCTACATGTGTGTTTAATTACACACTGAATGACCCCACTGTGAGATAGTGGTATCCCTAACGGTATTATCTTACAATGGAGTTAATTCATTTACTGCACCCTAAGACCGGCGCACATGTAAACTGTAAGGCTTTACTGTGGAGCTAATTAATCTGCTCAGCAGTAAGGCACACAAGTAGATGCACCCACAGTCTCCATATTTGGGTTTTAGAACATTAAGAACTGTGGGCTGCAAAATAGAGTTAGATGCCTTAAATGGAGCAAACCTATGTGAGAAGGAATGTCCGACTAATATGCTCGTAGATGCTGTAGCCAAGAATATAAGCAGTTTAGCACCAGGTGATTACCAAGACAGGGTTAAGTGGGTGGAAAAGTGATTTTATTTGAAATGTCTTTGATATAGATAGAGAAACCATAGAAATGAAGGCCTTGATCCCTGTGGACCCAAAGGTCCACTGAAACCATTAAGAACTTTGCATCCACAGAGATTTGTTAATCAGAATAAAGAGTTTTGTGGGAACAGGACTCTTGCTCTCTAGTATATTAGCCACATTAGTACTTTCTCTAGGCCAGTTTTAAATGACTGGAGAGATGTAGCGTCCACCTCTTCCTAGAATAGATTATTTTCCATCTTACAGTGCTTATTGTTAACAAACTGTTCTTGATATTTGGCCAAAACCATCCTAGTTTAATTTTATTTTACTACTCCTAAAAATAACCTTTGTGGTCTTCTAGCACAGACATAATTTCCATAGGTTTTTAAAGCACTCTTTTGATTATGGAGAATAGGTAGCAACAGTCCATGGTAGGATGCACCATTAAAAACATACACGTGTTTTCTCTATAGAAAACATAATAAATAATACTGTAAAGCAGGTTTATTTGACAAAGTGAACAGCTATCACAAAACCTGGATGTCAGCTGAGCCAAACGATCTTTTAGTTATTAATGAATGGTTTCCAGTTTGTAACATCAAGCAATTTGTTAGCTTGCAGGGAAGTAACTCACAAGTGGTTTAATTTATCTTGTTGGCAGGCATCCAGTTCAAGGGTGCAATGGGTATCTGCTCTGAAATGAGCAGACAGTATCCATATGGAACATTATTACTTAGAATGATGATTTTTGTATCATTTAGATTACTAATGATGGCTTCCAGTACAGTAATTCCAAAGTTCTGACCCTGTACGATGCAGTCTGCCAGGTCTGTGAATTTCATCCAACTGGACTTTGTAAATTAAAGGTAATTTTAAAAAGCTTAAAGGCTTAATACCGATCATCCATCTCCTTCTTAACCCTCTAGTTCCCCTTTGTCTGATGTTTAATTGTCTTAAAAGAGGAAAATCTTTTTTATAGGACAGCTGCATGGCTAAAAATTTTCTCCTTTTTCTTTAATAGTCCCTTCTGTGTGATTTTTACTGGTTCTAGAGGATATAAATAGTTGACAGATTATATACTCCAAGGGAAAATTCTCAATATGACATTTACAAATGAACATGGCTGTTAATATTTGTCAGTTGAAAATATTCAGGAAATCGGAGACAATTGGGAAACTGATGGACAACATTCTCTCAACCTCAAAAGATTTCTAACCTCCTTCTGAAGAATCTCTGAATGTTGAGTGATAAGGAGATTCTTTATTCGCTCTCCCTTCAGTTTGGGGGGAAATATTCTGACTGCAAGTTATATCATCTCCATATTTAGCTCCTTTGTGAGCAGTAGGTAAACTAAGGTACGTACTACATACATTTTGGCCTTGCAGAGACACCACTAAGACAACATAGAACATCCTAGCTTACATTAAATCTCTCCAAGAACAGATATATAGCATCATGACAGATTCAAAACTGTAATCAAAGTCTAATGCTACATTTTAAATTGCCCACACCGGGGAAGTGCCTAGAGAGCATTCTACCTCTTTGTTTTCTTGAGAACTCTAATGAATTACCTATTAGTATGACCTCCTTGAAATACCTCTCCTTTAGCAGGGGAGTCTATTGAACAATTTTACTGCCTCTAGTAGGGCTTTAAAACACTCTTCTGGAGGAAGATTGCTGGAAATATTTAAATGTCCTAATGCAGCTTTTCTATTCTGATATAAAAATTAATAAATTATAGGGTGCCTACATTCCCCTTGTATAAAGTAAGGCTCACGCAGGTAAATTTTTTCCTCGCTCCATTTGCCTTGTTCTCATTAACACTAATAGGAAAATATGATCTTCGGAGTAACACTGAAAATTGCTCTTGTAACACTGTACCTTTTACCATGTTAAAATGAAAATTCACATCTTTCAATTTGAGTCAGTAACTACAGTTAGTAACAGGCCCAATTCAACACAAAACACTTAGCTTTCTGATTACCAGAATCAGAGCAGATACTATTGTAGGTGATACTATTTCTTAATTCTTTTCCTTCCTTCATTTTTTTTTTTTTTTGAAACCCTAAAGTACATACATTTTGCAAAAGGCAGGAACTCCCTAGATTATAATAATTCCTGTTCTAAGACGCACTAAAAGCTATTTGATCTTGGCTACCAATTGCATCAAACCAGATTCTAATTAGCCCTTTTATAATATTTCTTTTTAGCACCTCAATTGCTTTCAGGAAAGGTGTTTCAATGAGAGGATATTTTATACAAGGCCATTTCACATTTTTTGTGCTCCTCTTTTATGGAACCTATTCCTCACCACATTATCACTTCAGAAAAGTATCTTCTTTTTTTTTTTTACCAGAATCAAGTCTAATTGCCTTGAAAACAACAATGGTAAAATTGTATTATTCTCCAAATCATAATGGCTGAGCTCCATGTTGTTCTTTCATTTTAGGCTACTATACAAAAGTACCTTCAGATCCTTTACTTTATATAATACTCCCAAGATATGTAAAATAATATCTGGCATGTATCAGGGAAAAAAAGCAAAAAAGGATTGCTTACAAATGACAGAATTCATTATATGAGCCTGTCAGAGAAAAATCCCAGTGGTCAGTAGGACTATTCATCTGTGCTAGGCAAGTGTGATATGTGGACTAAAAGCTTGTTAGTATGTCTACAGTGAAATCAGTGGTGAATGCATCACAGAAAGTCATAGCTAAAATACCTTTAATCTAGCTAGCTCTGATACCCTAATAATGAAGCCTCAGTGGAATAAGCTTTGGCCTGAGTTGTACAACTCTGGGTACTTGTGTGCTTAGCCTGGGCTAAATATATAGGTTTGAACAGCTGACACTGAAGTCTGAACTGCCATGATTTCATTGGTACTGATACCTCAAGCTAAATTAAAGTGAGCTCAGATATGCCTACAAGTGTTGTTATCAAGCATTGTGATCTCATAGTAGATGTACTGTTAAATCGGACTGCCTCGGGTCACTGACCGTCAGCAGGACTAAGGCTCCTCAGCAGTTTTGAAAATATCACCTGGTTTTTATAATGATCCCAGAAAAGCCTATAGAGAAAATATACTTCTTTATTACTTTTTTAATTTCGTGACATACTGGTTTGTTATTGCAATTCGCTATATATAAAATAATATTAAAAAGGACAGAAACAGTGAATTATAAGAACAGAAAAGTAACAGTCCACAATGCCAAAAAAGGGTTTTTTTTCAGCCAGCCTCCCTTTTTTGTCTGATGAAGCTTACATTCGAGAGTTCCCAAGTAATCACCATATTAGCAATCATAGCTGGTAGTAATAATCACATGCAATATGTAAGCAATTTAATGGGGGAAGAAAAGCTGTGTTCTCTCACATTCATCCATGACAAGCAACATTACAAGTTGCCTAAGATAAAACATTCACAGCTACAAGTTGAAACCGGAGAACTCTGATGTTTCAGCATTGTAACGATACACTTGTATTCTCCCTCTGGGGAACAAAGTGCTAGCATTTAAATTGCTGCTATTTCATTATTCTGAAAGAAACAGTAGTTTAGGCTTATCTCAAGTAATTACTAACTGCTAATTTATGTCATTTTTCTTTTTCTTTTTTTGTCAGGAAGATACTTGTAATATTGATGGACTTTGCTATGGCGAAGGAGATTCAAGCCCCACAAGCCCGTGCCTTCTTTGTGAACCTGACATTTCTAAATTCATCTGGTCTATTAATGAAAGTAAATAGATTTTTTCTAAGATTTACAAGCCAATTGGTGGGCATTCAATACTCTGCATATGAAATATTAGCTTTGTTGATTTATAACATGGTCCTCTGCTGCAATCTGGGAGCAGTGCCTTGAGCAGGAGTTTTCAGTGCACAAGGAATATAGGATTGTGTTGTTGGTTGTGGGTGCAGTACATACATTACACCAACAGTCCCCCACTTTGCTGGCACATGGTCAACAATACCGAGCAAGTGATGTGTGCTGCTGGCAACATCAGGCTTTGCTCCCTCTTTTAATTTTTGGTAGCCAAGTCAAAGGGTCTCATTGACAAAGTAAGATCTGCAAACGATGGCTTGGGAAACACTGCACTACATATAGGTTGGAAGCAGACGTTACTGAACAAAGAGGATCAAGTGTGTTGTGCACTGTGATGACACAGCTGACCTGCTTCAAGGGGTAAAACACACATTGCCCATTGTCCCACCCTTGCTGGTGCAGGACAAGGAGCAATGTGATATCCCCACTTTCCCTCAGCTGGACCTATTACCAGCATTCACTAGAGACAGGTCTGACTGAGAAGGGAAGGGCTTTTCTCAGCCCAGCCAGACCCATGATTGAGTCAGTCTGAATGGGGATGGGTTTTTCCCTGCCCAGCTGGAGCCAGAGCATAGGTCTGGGTCAGTGGGGAAAAACCCTACTTTCTCCACTGAGCCAGGCCCATTCTCCAGGGCTGGCTGAGTGGGGACTTCTGATTCCCTGGCTTATGAAGATGTACTCTGAGATTCCCTGCGGTGCTTCTCTGTAAATAGGAAAAGTAGGCAAGCGCTGTGGAGGCTTGAGGAGTCAAGTCTCCACGTCACCTGCCTGCAGTGGTGGGAGAGTGCGCAGGCTGCTTGTACTCTCCCACCACAGACCTAATAGACATCCACTGCCATAAAGCAGCAGAGTCTTTTAACACCTTTTGTTGCACCACTGATTTTCCTTTCATGTAGCACAACAAAGGGTATCCAGGTTTATTTGCTCAACATTTCTGCCACCATAAATTTTTTTATGGAAGCACAAATGAAATGTTAGACCATGTCTGTTTCCACTCTACATGCAGGATTGTGATTCCAGGCTGAAACCTGAAAACACATCAAGAAAAAAAATGCACCTGGGAATAGCATTTTATGAACAATAACTCCTTGCAAACTTCTAAAATCATTTCTGCAATGCTGGACATTGCTAATTAAAGGGTATGATGAATCCCAAGGACCTCCAAGCTCACCTTAAGACTATTGGATTTTAAAGAGGAAAAAGCATAGTAAAACAATACTTTGAAATAACGATCTATCTTTTTGGTATTTTCAGCAAGGGAGTCCTACAGCCAAATACTTGTACATGCTACATATAAACTCACTGTACATGCCAGCAGCACCCTCAAGCACACTTGACTGCTCTAGGCAGTCTGCCTCCTAAATTAGAAACAGAGTAGCTTCCCCATGGGCAGATGGGCTTACTGGCACTGTCATTCAGATGTGCTAATTAGCACATCTCCAGCGCCCCATGAAACCAGTTACATGTTTCCCAGTTCAGGAGATGGTTCATTGCGAGCAATGAAGCATACCTAAGGACTCAGTCCATGATAGTGAGCTTACCATGTAGACATTGTCATAGATACCATGAGAAATCCCATTGTGTGTCCCCTCACCAAACAGAATTTTCATTACTCATGGATTACTGTGTTGAGAGGGGGTGGCCCGCTGACGGCACTTGTGCCACAAGAGGTACAAGCAGCCTCTGTGTGTGTCACTCAGCATATTAGGGAGCAAGCAGGGAACATGGCAGCAGATAGGGCAAGGGGCAGAAAACAGAGCAACAGATTGGTCAGGGAGCACAGGGAATAGAGCAGAAAGCAAAGAAAGAGATAGAGAAGGAGAAGGGTATCAGAGCATCATTGAGATAGGGCATGGAGCTTACCACCAAAAAGGTTGGCCCCCACTGATGCAGATTTGTAGTTCTAGTGGCAATTATCTTCAACGGATACAAGTGCACACTCACCAGTGTGCAAGAACAGATTGTCATTATAAGGATCATAAATGTGTTTTCGCCACATGCACTGGTTTGGAGGATAATTGTTTATGGACCTAAAATGTGGTTCTGCATTGGGTGCTTCGTAAATGTGGTGATGTTATAATGCAAAGGGCCTACTGGGATGACTATGAGGATACCCCTGAACAGGAATAATCAGGAGCTACAGAAGCAAATCATACTGCACACGGTCACCATGTGGCAGACATGTAAAGGGCACAGGAGTACTTAAAAATGACTAATGACCATCTAGACAATCAGTGCGTAATCAGAATTATATGATTCATATTAAGAGTCAATTTTAGTTACAGATTAGGGAATTGCTTAACTTACTAATATTAGGGTTGCTTCATGCTTTAGTGGAGATAGGATTTGTGAAATCTGGACTCAGATGCCAGTTCAGATTTAAATTGCCCCAAAGATCAATAAATAGTATTGAGATAAAAGGTTCGGTGTCAGGCCGATTTTCAAAAATTGCTAAGACATTGTTAGACAGGAAATGCATTGATACTTTATACTCGCACACTTTTGTTCATGGCATGGAATGAATTGATCTTTGCAAAATTAAAAACACTCCTAAGCTACAGTGAGTTTTAAGAACATCTCATTTTCTGTTCCATTGTGTTTGTTACCTCCTCTGGTAACTCTCCATCCAATTAACGCCTTTTTGTTTATCTGTAACTGCATATCCATTGAGCATTTCATTGATTGCTTTTGGCACAACCTTTATGGGCCAGGTGGTTTGGGGAGTTTCTGAAGTAAGCGATAAATTAATAGATAGCCACTTTCAGCAGTTATGCATTGACAGCCTGCTGGACAAGCAACTTAGAGAGGTTTGATAACACGGCAAAGACAAGTGGAGAGATGCAGTTAAATAACTGCATAGTAAGGCAAATACTATGGAAAACAAGGCTTGAAAAACTGATACTCAAAAGAATAAAAAGCTAATGCTGATTTTACTTCATATATTGTTTACCAGAAAAATATTGCAGAACACATCCCGTCCTTATGAGAAAAGCCCATGTTATACACAGGGCCAGACACAGGCATGGGCAAAGCAGGTGGCCGCCTGGGGCCTGGACAGAAAGGGGTCCCAAAATGGTATTTTTTTAAAATTATGATTATCGTTATTGCTGGTGAAGTGGAGCCCAATACTAGAAGTTTTCCTAGGGCCACCAGGACTCTAGGTATGGTGCTGGTTCCACAGATCGTGCCTTGTGAAATTAAATTAATCTTCCTGATTGTGGGGATTACTCAATGAATAACATAACTATGAATACATTGCATTATGTCATTATGCTTTTAAATGTGAATACATGTCAATTTGTAGGTCACCAGTTAGGCACCAAACCAAGACTCAGGATATATGGGTTAAATTTCAAGCTCTGGTCATTATATTATCTATGGCAAAGCCTCAGCTTCCAATTTTAAAAGTGGAGATAATAGTTTTTTTCCCTCTATACTTTATCTGCCTCATCTGTATAGAATCTAAGCTCTTTGGGTTAGGATTCTTCGTACTTTCATATTACAACTTGATTACAGCATCTAGAAAATCCCCATGTATAAATAGTAACAACAAGAACACAGCATATGACACTAGATTTAGGTACCCTTACTCATGCAAAGAATTCCTTTATTTCTCCAGAAATCTCTCCTGGCCATTTTTTATAAGGAATAAAAAACATGTTTTTCTGATTTCTTCATTCTACAGGGTTAAGCTTTCACAGAGCTACAGCAGCATTCACAGAGCTGAAGACTTTTACCAATTCACATACTGGGCATGTACACGTGCATGTGTTGAGTGCCTTAGTGAGACTTCCCGTTTCCAAGACTTCGTATTTCTTTTACCAAATAAGCAACATTATTAGTATTGCAGCAGGACCAAGACCTGTGTCCCACTGTACTAGACACCATCCAAACAAATAGGAAGGGGCAAAGGGTCACATCAGAACTAGATTCACGTGGGCTAATCTATATAGGCATACACAGCAGCTGACGGTTCTGTTGCCTTCAGGCGTTCTCCCCTATTAGACGTGCAGTTAGCACTTAAGTAAGAAGGGGGAGACTGTAGTGAGAGGATACCTAGCTGGACTCCCCCCATGTGTCTGATGCATCTCAGAACTGCAAAAGGAAGATAAAAAGCTGTGCTTTGTTATTTAGCTGTTAGTGATTGCTAATATTTATGGTGTAGTGCTGCTGCCATCGGTTTTCACACACTTTACTCACTCGATTTTAAAAAGGAAACACTCCAAACCTCCCCTATTAATGCACTGTAGAGGTCTGCACATATGTGATCACTCCTTTATTTTTGCTTTTTTTTAGACAACCTGCCTCCTGTGTTCCAAGCCCCTTCCAGCCAGCTGCTGACATTTATTGGTGAGAATTTTGTTTACCAGTTAATAGCAGCAGATCCTGAGGGGTCAGCTGTGCTATTCATCTTAGAGGCTGGGCCACAGGATGCCACACTCTCTCCTGCTGGCCTCCTCATCTGGAAAGTCGATTCGGAAGCAAAGCAGACGGTTGTGTTCGCTGTGTCAGATGAATGCAATGCACAGAACAGATACTCTGTTGAGGTAGGAAGGGAACACTTAAAAAAAACTGTTTATCATGCCATCGGTTTAGTGCAGTTTTCATTATGGTTAATAATTTGTTGCTGTCTTAAAAACTAAGACTTCAGCTATTTCCGAGTAAGTGCATATTATCCAGTATGGCCATAATGATCAATTAATCAAATAAATATCTCTGAGAACATAGAAACTATATATACAATGAACAGGAGAGAGTACTATTGATTGCTGTTTGAAAGAACACTCTTGCGGAGCCTGTTAATGGTTCATTAATCTGCTTTAAAATTCACAGTCTACATTTGGATCATTGGGGTGGGGTGGGGGAAGCACATAACATAAAAGACCAGGTTTCAGCTATAAAGAGATTATAACTCATTCTCAATGATATTTTAGAGGGTACCTTCCTTTTATGTCATTACTCCACAGCTTTGGCTTCTTGGCAGAGCCTGTGCATTGCTTTGTCTTTATTGCAAGGCATTACATTAATCCTGTGATAGCATAGCTAATAAGGTGGGATACCCAGTCTTAATACCGGAGCAGTTTTATTACTAATGGATCACTGCTAAGGACTCTAATGTATGACTCATATTCACAACCATTTTCCAAAATATTGGTCTGTGGAATTCACAAAGATACTGGAACATCAGCGTCACTGTGGTGGGCGCATTAGAAATGCAGAGCTAGATTGTATAGATACGATGTTCTTTTAAATCTTTTCTTGGCATGTACACTACATACCTAGCCTCTTTAGATTTTCTCTCTGCTTGAGACTAAAGGTATCTACAGAGTGCTATAATCAAGTTACCTGCCTCAGGAGGCACTTGTAGAGGTATTAGTAACAAACACCATTGGTAGGTAGTCAGATGGGCAGATAGAAAATGTTTTTATTTTTTACTCTTCTTGCAAAGCTAAGGAACAAGGTTTGCCCTCAGATATTCAAAAAACAACTGTTATTGTAGACAACAGGCTTTTTTCCCTTTACTTTTTATATCTGAAGTTAGGGTATGCCCCTAAAAACAAAATCTAGCTTTTAGTAGAGTAAAAATGTAGCCTTCAGCATGACATTTTATATCTAGAAAATTAGAAAGAAGTTTTTTTGTAATGCTGGAAAGTATGTTGTTTGCTGTTCAAGTCTATCCTTTCTTAAAAGGAACCTAAACATACCTTTCAGTTGGGAGAATATTCAAGAAAATATATTTATGGATCCCCTTTTGCTTTATCCAGGTTTTAGTGAAGCCTTGCAGCTGCATGCATGGTGGAACGTGCGTTACCAATATTAACTTCCCTCCAGGACTTGGTGAATACCTCTGTATATGTCCAAATGGATTTGATGGGGAACTTTGCCAGGAAAATATCCATGACTGCAAATCAAACCCATGTGGAAGTGGCACATGTGTTGACAGTGTGGACAGCTACACTTGTAAATGCCCGGCTGGTTTGGAAGGTAATACATTGCTACTCCTAATTTCTATAGGTTGAGACAGATGTTGTGCTAAAGGGGTTTAAACGGAGCCCAAAATATCCACAAGCATCTATCAAGTTGGCTGAAGGTGCTTCCTTCTGTGCTCCCATGACTTAGCTGGGACAGGTGTTATCAATGCCAAGGGAAGGTATATCAACCCAAAAGCTTCAGCTCATTAGAATAAATATGGAAGGCATCTGGGGTTAGATTAAAGTGAATCAAGGTGCACTGTCTCTGCTGCAAAGGAGGAACAGAAATGGGGTAGGCGTGGGAATGAGTAATAGCCAGGTGACTTGCTGAGAGAGACAGAGAAGTAGTACACTGTTCTAACGAGGATTCATTAGCCATCAAGATTAGTAAACTACCTCCCCTCCCGGTTCATAGATAAAGCAGGCAAATGCTTCCCTTTCTGTCCTCTTATATCCTTCCAGGACCTCTGTTAGTGACACCTTGATTAGCTTCCATCATGTGTTCACAGATCCCTGCCAAAATCCTCTCCTCTACCCAATACTTGGTCTTTTACTATAAGATCTAGCTTATTGTTTAGAATGATCATCTTTCATGGCACTGAAAACAACAACTATGGATGGTTACTCCTGTGCCAGAACCTGCTAATAACTAGTCCAAGATTGAGGCTAAAGGAAAGCATGAAGGTGAAACCAGCTTTGCATGCACTGGGTCTCTGGGCATCCCCACATTGCACTCTGCAGTAAAGTATTAAGGCATCTGAATTAAGTCAGATGCTAGAAGCAATCTAAATGAGATGACCCAAAGCTCTGTGCAGTCTAATTTACCCTGCTGCTCCTTATTACTGTTCTCAGCAGGGTAAATTAGCTCCATGTGGCTGTGGCTAGAATGCTTCTGGTACCCTAAATGAGACTGCCTAGAGCTAATGCATGCATCTCTACATTGCATGGCAGTGTGCCATGAAGACCTAAACCTAGGGATCTGGCAGTAGTTCAAGTATTCAAGCCCATTCATTCTTTGTCCTCTGTATTCAGGTTGCTACCATGGGGTCCAATTTATGAACTCTGGAGCAATACAATTTAAGGTCTGTCTACATGACAATGCAGTGTTTTCAGGAGATACTAAAACTAAAACCAAATGAACCAACCTCAGGAAGTAGAAACAGTACAGCCACCTTAATGTAGCACTCTACTCATGCTAATTAGCCAGCAGGGAAGCAGGGCACATTAGCTTTAGGTGAGCATTTCACCAACATGGCTAACTGTTTCCAATACTCAAGGTTGCTCATTATTGCTACTAGTTACTCCTGTGTTTCACAAAGGTTACTGAATAATTATCAGATAGTAACAGCTTTCAGTTGCTATTAAACCAGCCAGATTCAAAACAGTTGTCTTGAGGTGCAATGTTATTCCAGATCTCTGTGGAAAGTATCTCTTCAAACAGCACTACTACAGGAGCAGTGTAGACTCGAGCCACCATAAATGCTGAAAGTTACATTCAGAATCGAAAACCTGAGTCAATGAAGAGCCACAAAGATTGTTCACCTATAAAAGGCAAGTTCACTCATGAAACAAGCAATATTGGCTGTTGTCCAGTAAAAACCTAATGCTGTACAGTTAGAAATGTAAAAGTGAGGTCAAAAAGCAGCATGAGATCATTATGATTCCCTATCAGAGTCCCTCTCCACATGCAGGTAAAGGCACGACAGGATCTAATGCATGTTCCACACAATCGCACCTCCTGCCATGCCACACGTGTGGCAGGAGGCGTGATTGTGGGATTCTGCATCAGAATGCACCGTGTCTTATTGCTGGTGCAGGGGGAGCCCATGCAGGAGGAGTAAGTTGTTTTGGCTGGGAACCTGCTCAGCTGAGGGGCTCCCAGTCACAGCCCCATGCACTCCAGTGACTGGGTGATGCAGCTGCCAGCCACAGAGCCACCCCATAGCTGAGAGATCACAACAAATGCAGTCTTCTGCCCTGGGAGTACATGGAGGCCTGCCCTGACTAAGAAATCACAGCTACTG